AACATTAACGAGGTGGTACAGATATTAGAGAATCAGTGCAACTAATAACAATGAGGACAGACCTCTCCATCCTGCAGCAGCCTACACTATCTCTAGCATTTCCTAAAACCATTCAACACTGGAGTCTCATACCTGGGGCCTCTAGGCACAGGTTTCCCTGATGGTCCTCTCCCTGCAGGCCACTATAGGGGACACAGAACCAGCAGTTCCTGGGATGCACTAGTGTAATATTATTCTACTTTTAGAGACTTTTAAACAGATTTTCCTTGTTTCCTGAATTCTGCATCTCCTCCTCAAACCAGATACAAAACATTTGGAAAACCGAGTCCTCTTCCCACAATAATGATATTTTACAATTCAAATTGAGCTTATCAGCTCCAAGTTATTTCAATATGAAAAATGCCTTGAGCTCATTAGTAATTTTATAGGTAAGAATAACTGACGATAATGCTTAGCATCACTTAACACAAATCTAGTCTATATTCACTAATTATATCTCCGGGTGTTTTAACATTGGTTCTGATCCTGAGCACCAGAAATCTAACAATGCTCCATTCATTCACTTCCTGACCAGTGGTCCTAATTCATTTAGCATTGGGCAACATGACAAGTGGGCCAAGTATGTGGACATGACCATTATACTCTGGATCCCTGGGGAAAGAAATGCTTTCACCATAGCCCATAAGGAGCAGCAGCAGGGTGAGACAAAGTGAGGTGGGAGTGGGAAGAGGGTGGGAAAGCCCCAGCCCCTTCTAGGAAAGAGGAGGGAACTTTGGCAAGCATCTGGGTGGTGGCCAATGCTGAAGACATGATTGTGCAACTTGAAGAAATCCCAAAGGTTCCCTTTGTCTTTGACTCCTTTGAGTTCCTCCACTTGGATTGATAATAAAGGCAATTTGGACCCTAGGAAATACCCTGTTTTTGGCAGGAGGGATGAGTACCAATGATATCAGAAAATCCCCATTTGGAAGGGCTGGGGAAATGGGCACTGCCATTCCTGTTGGGAATGAACATAGGTGCAACGCTTATACAAGGGAATTTGGTACTATCTATTAAAAGTACATGTGCACTTGTCTTCCCACCTAGTAATTCCACTTCTAAAATTTCATGTTGAAGATACAAGTCCCCAACAGCACACTTCCACAAGATTGTTCACTGCACACTGTTTGTAATTGCAAAACACTGGAAAAACCTCTGTGTCATATAGAAGAGACTCAATGAACTATGGAACATTCATTCACACAATGGAGTCCTTTGCAGCTTTTTTTTTTTTTAAGAGTGGAATTTATGAACTGATATGGAATGATTTCCAGGATGTGTCTGGAAGTGAAGTAGCAATACTCAAAAGAATATTGATAGTATAAGACAGAAGAGGAAATAAAACTATACAAAGAATAAAGCAGAGAATAAAGGAACTGGCTCACTCAGAGTGGGAGGGGAAGGGGTGAATGGGAAAAACACAGGAAGATAGAAATAGGAGAGGGGGAATGAATTTTTTTTCCAAATATGCCTCTGTACAAGCTCTGATTTTTAAAAGCATATTAATGTTTCACCAAAAAAGAAAAGAAAATCAACAAGTATGGGGGAAAACTTTCATTTGCTCAAATCACAAAATTAATATGGAATTGGTAAAGAATCATTTCCACTGACTTACAAAAAAAGCATGGAATGTAATACAAATGGTATAGGAACACTATAGTGGATCTCTCTCTCTCTCTTTTTTCTTTTAGTAGGATTGGTGCTTGAACTCAGGGTTTCGTGCCTGCAGAGCAGGTGCTCTACTGGTTGAGCCACACCTCTGGTCCTTTTTGCTCTGATTATTTTGGAGATGGAGCTTGTGAACTATTTACCCAATTTGGCCTCAAGCCACGATCCTCTCCATCTCAGTCTCCTAAATTGTTAGGATTACAGGTGTGAGCCACTGGCGCTGGACGTGGAGTTGTTTGTTATGCAGCAAAAGAGAACTGAACAAACACCTATACCTTACCCAAGAGATCTCTACTATCAGACCACCCAGGAGCCCAGACACAATCCTACCTGCTCCAAGCAGGTCAAGTGGGCATAAAGACCCTGCACTAAAGCTCACATACTTTCCTCAAAAGCCCGTCAAAGTCAGTGGCCCCTGATCACACAATTCAGACACTCTGGCTTCTTAACAAATGACAGTTACCAATTATTCAATTAACAATGGCAGGGGACCCACCTTTGAGATGGGGTCCTCCAGGGCCTTGACAGGGTCTCATGGAAAAGCCAACTAGGATGGACATATGGCAACACTAGCCAACTGACAACTGGGAGAGAATACTGCAGAACCTGTGTCTGGTGCACCTCAGTCTGGGGGTAGAAAGCCTTTTGACCTTGGTAACTCTTGCATGATGACAGTTCCAGGTTTCTGGGTTTTAAAAATTTATTTATTTGTTTATTTATTTATTTATGTTATGTGGCACTAAGGTTTGAACTCAGGGCCTCACACTTGCTAGGCAGACACTCTACCACTTAAGTCATTCTACCAGCTCATTTTTTAAAATTTTTAATTTCATTTTTATCACCATATTATTGTTGTTTGGGAGCTGTACTGTGACATTTACAAACATGCTTATAATATATCCTAGTCAAATTTACCCCTTCCCTCATTCTCCTTTATCCCCCACACCCATTCCTGGAACAGTTTCAACAGGACTCATTTTTCCATTCTCATACATGAGTACATAATATTTTCACCATATTCACCTTCTTTCACCTCTTCTCTATATCCTCCCCCCCACACACACTGTTACCAATTCCCAGACAGGACCCATTTTACCTTCCTGTCCTTTGCTTTCGAAAAAAGACATTTATTTCTGTTTGTTTAAGATAGCTACATAGGGATTTTCATTATGACATTTCCATGTATATATGTATTGTATCCTAAACTGGTTCATCCCCTCCATTTTTCTCCTTTCTATCTTGAGTTTCTGTTTGCTGTACTAAGTCTTGAAATTATCAAGAAAAGATGAAATCATCCCTGCCTGCTCTGCCTAAGGAGGCCAAGAAGCGCAATCTGGTTTTAAAAGATTTCCATCTGAAGTAGAAAAGGGAAGAGTGTTTTGCATAATTAAAGGGCTAAGTGCCAAGTGTCTGGCAGCAATGCTGTGTGGAGAGGCGTGGCAATGATCACGTCACACAATGTGCATGTGCAGCATGCACCAAGGAAACACTGCTCTAAAGCAGGGTTTGCTAGGAATGAGGACTGGCTCAAAGTAGAGCACCTGCCTAGCAAGCCCAAGGCCCTGAGTTCAAACCTCAGTACTGCCAAAATAAAAAAATGTAATAGGGCTTTTTTTGTTTTTTAATTTGTGGAAACCTTTCAGAAAGCAAGAATTTTATTAGATCATCTTCTCATGCAGTGCACAGTTCTTCTCCTGATCTTCCTGGGTCTGCTGAGAGCAGGACAGCTGATAGCCCAAGCAGAAAGGGAATCTGGGGAGGAGGGACTCACTGCTAGCAAATATGACACTTCTAGAACAGTTCATATCACCCTGCTCTAGTCTAGAGGGAGGTATGCTTCAACCTTCCTGGCAGCTCAGGGCAGTGGGCGGAGGCAAATGGCTCAGGCTGGCCAACAGCATGTGGTTCACACAGGTCAGGTGAGTACCCTGCACCACAGTGAAATAATCAGTGGAGCAAATAAAACCAAGGACCACTTAAAAGCACAAAAGGAAGGCACCACATGCTCCTTTGTTACGCACTGAAATTTGGTCACTATAAGAGGTTAAACATTAGTGATTGACCATGAGAAAGAGGCTGCATGTTCCGAGGTGGGGACACAGTAGAGGCAGGAGGTTCAGATCCTGCCAAGCTCCACAGTGATGCATCGATGTGACAGTCTGACAAATTTGAGGGGCCTCAGGGTCTTAGGTCAGGTTTTGCATACTCCATCAGTACTCAGCTATGTGACTAAGCTACCTAACTTCTTTGTTTCTCCTTCTACAAAATGGAGAGAACCCCATCTAGATTGCAGACTGTTCCTGGGATCAGAGTAATTCTATTAAAGTGCCTAACCAAGTCTGGCATATGGCAGTCTACATCAGTGACCTTGTCCTGGATGAACTTAAGTCAATGTCCAGCTTGTTACACTTTGGAAATCATGTTGGAAAAGCACTGAATTCACAGCTGAAGAGTCTGCAAATGTGAGCCTACAACTGTTGCTGAGGAATTAAGACTTCTATTAATTCGCAGCAATTCTGTGGCTTTCCTACTGACCACCCAACTGCTCAGGTCCAAAAGCTGGGAGTCACCTTGGCCTCCTCTCACACACACCACATCCATCCATCAGCAAGTCTAGCCAGCTCCTGTGGCCAGTCAACCCTCACCACTGCTGCTACTGCCTGATCTCAGCTCACCACCCTGCAGCATCTCACCCACTGCTTCCCTCTTATAGCAGGTTCTCCACTGAGAGCCACTTACCTTTTTAGACTTAAATAAGATCACTGTCACTCCCTGTCAAAACCTTCCAAGGCTTCCCATCTCCCTCGGAACTGATCTGATGAGGTCTCGCTGACCTCATTCACAGCCTCCCCGCCTCCCTCTCTTGCCCTTTCTTGCTGTCCAGCCATACTGGTCTCACTGTTGTTCTTTAAGTGTCCCAACCACATTCCTGCTGTGGGGCCTTCATACCTGCTGGAGAACACTCTGTAATGCTCCTCCCTCACACAGTGTGGTGGCTTACTGCCTCATGACCTCTTCCCAAAGGTCACCTCCTCAAAGAGGTATACACTATGACTCATCCACTTTCTGTCTCCTTTACCCAGCTTCAGTTTTCACCACCTGATGCTTGTTCCTTGCTTTCTCCTTGAATAGAGCATGAACGCTTGCAGAGCACAAAGGCCCTTCTCCATTTTGCCCAGCACCATGTGTCCCCAGGACCTAGAATGGGGAGAGCCTGGACAAAATGGGTGCTCAATCCCTTATGCACAAGGAGTTTAAGAAGAGCTGAAAGGCCATGGCCCAGACAGCTTTACCTTTTTCCCAGCTGTGGGGCTGCTCTCTGTGCTCTGCACAGGGCTCCTGTGGGGGCTTCGGCTTTCCTGGGGCACACATCTGCCCATATACACACTGTAGTCTAGAAGCATCTTCTGCCGCACACTGCCTACCAGCTCCTTCTGCTTCGGCTGGGACATGATCTCTTCCATGCTGCCTTTGCTGCTGCTTCGGCTGTGGGTCAGGTGCCCGGAAGGGCTGCTGTGTCTGCTGTGGGTGGGCAAAAGCCCTGAAGCAAAGAAGTGATGGCTCTTAGTACAAATGAAGAAAACAACCACCAAGCAAACCAAACTCCAGAGGACAGATGCCCCTGGGTCAAGTGGGAAAGCAACTAAAATGCTATCAAATGATTATTTAAAAAATATTTGTACCCTGAAAAATTCCTCGCTCTAATGATAGATAACTTATAGCACAGTTTTCATTCTTCTCCAAGATTTCATAGTAATAGGAACAATGAAGTATTTCTGGTGGGTACCTTTTCCTTTGCTCCTGGTGATTGATCTTTTAGGAAAATGTCAGATATAGTCCTAGCATACCCCATGTCAGGATGTATATGACTGCTATTAGGGGCAAATGGAAAGTGGGCAGAAAGCTAAGTGACTGTTCATCTACAGCTCACAGAAAGGAGCCATCTTTCATTCAACATATCACTGAACTCAGACAAATGGGCAGATAAATCACAATCTTCTGTAACAAATGTTGCCAAGAGGCACTGGCCCTTGCACTGACTTCACCCAGTGACACCTGGGCTGTCTCAAGGGAAGAATTGTCATTTTCCTGGCCAAGACAGGGGAAGATAATTCTAGGTATAGAGAACAACATATCAATCAGCAAGGGCAGGGCTGGTGGAGTGGCTCAAGTGGTAGAGCACCTGCCAAGCAAGTAAATGTGAGGTCCTAAGTTCAAACCTCAGTATCACCAAAAAAAATTTTTTTAAAGAAAGAAAAAAGAAAAAAGCGAAGGCAGAACAGACTGGTTAGAGGCCAGAGTGAGATTCAGCAGAGGACAGGGGCAGAGGCACAGGAAGTACAGGTGGAGAGAGACACTAGGAATGGATTGCTAAGTGCCCTTGGAGAGTCATTACCAGCCACATGACAGTCACTGTCAGAGACAGCTTTGTAGGATAGTTCGGTTCTCACAAATTGACCTTTGCTACTAGATTCATCACATTTTTGGTAGCTTAAACTTACCATAAATACGTCAATTCAGAGCTTTTAAAGGCAACCCAGACTAAATACAGGTATTGTTAGTGGTGTGAGAATACAGAGCTGCTGACTTTAGTTCAAGTGAGTGCACTGAAAGCTTTCCCATATCTAGCTCTTACCATTCAGTTTGCTGAGTTGTGAGTGAAAGTATGGGAACTTTGGGTAGGATTTCAAATTCATAACAATAATCAAAGCTTTTAGTTAAGTTCACAAGTAACATGCCACTTTGGAGGCTTCTCTGGGTGACTCCTGAGGCCCTAAGGTTGCATTTCTGGGCAGGCTTACACATTCCTGAGGGCTGCTTGATTTTCAGTGTCAGTGCCTAGGCCAGTGGACCTTTATACTCTTAACAGAAATATAATGCCAGCTACAAACAACATTTTAAATTTTCTAGCAGCTAAAAAAGTAAAGATAAACAAGTGAAATTAATTTGAATATGTTTTATTTAACCCAATATATCTAAAATCTTATCATTTTAACATGTAACCAATATAAAAAAATTGGGGGTGCGGGGACTGGGGTTTTGAACTTAGGGCTTTGTGCTTGTAAAGCAGGCTCTCTACCACTTGAGCCATACCTCCAGTCCATTTTGCTCTGGTTATTTTGAAGTTAGGGTCTTGTGAACGATTTGCCTGGGCTGGCCTTAAACTGCAATCCTCTCAAATGTCAGCTTTTGAAGTAGCTAGAATTACAGGCACAAGCCACCAGTGCCTCGACCAATATAAAAATTTTAATGGGATATTTCACATTCTTTTTCATACTAAGTCTTTGAAATTCAGTGTATATCTTACACTTTAGAGCACATCTTAATTGGACTGGCCACATTCTGAGTGCTCAAAAGCCACCTGGAGGGTCCTGATTTCAAAACTCAGTACCCTCCTTCCAAAAAAAAGAAAAAGAAAATTAAAAAAAAAAACAAAAAAACACCAGGGTTCATGGCTACTGTACTGGACCTACCAGGGGGGCTGAGCAGTGGTTGGTGCTGAGTAGTTCTCACTGACTTGAATCTTCTTTTACTAAGCACTATGGTTAAATTATGCCTCCCAAAAGACATATTGGTATCTTAACTCCTCCCCAACCCTCCCCTCCCCTGCCACATGTCAGAATGTGATTTTATTTGGAAATGGGGTCATTGTAGACAGAATTCATTAAAATGAGGTCATGCTAGAAGTAGGGTGGGCTCTTAATACAATATGACCAGTGTCTTTACAAGAAGAGACACACTGAGACAGCATCCCAAGACAACAGAGGCAGAGTTTGGAGGGACACAGCTGCAAGCCAGGGATCCCCTGCCACCAAAAAAAGCTAAAAAGAGGCAAGGAAGGATTTAGAACAGTCTCAGAGGGTGCTTAATTCTGCCAATACCTTGATTTTGGACTTCTAGCATCTGGTACTGGGAGAAAGTAAGCATCTATAGTTTTATACCACTCAGGTTGTGGTATTTGTTCCTGGCAGCCCTTGGAAGTAAATACACTCCTTCTCCCTATTTTTTTGTGCTTAAGGTATTTCCAGGAACTTCTGGACTCTCAGATGCTCAGGGTCAGGATGGAAGTTGGTGCTGAAGCTGACAGAATGGAAGGTCAACAAATGTACTGGGTAAGGGTCCAAATCACTACCCAGAAGAGGAAGCAAAGCAACCAGAAGCCATGTTTGAGGCCCACATGAGCCATGTACTCCCCGATTAACACAAATTCATGTCAGGGAAAGCCCCAGAGTGGCTCCGCCCTAGTTCTGGCTCCATCCAAGAAAGTCTCCCTAATAATATACACATTGATCTTGTCCTTCTCAGATGTCCCACAATTACTGGTTGCAGCATGCTTATTTTAGCATAGTAATTCTTAAACATTTGACTCATACAGGTCATTTTGTCTAACAAACACAAGCACCTGGGCGGAGTGGGTGGTAAGGGAGGGGGTGGGGGCAGGGGGGAGAATTGAACCAAGCCTTGTATGCACATATGAATAATAAAAGAAAAAACAAAACAAAACAAAAAAAAACACAAGCACCCGACGGACAGGCTGCTGTTGCTGTTTGCTGGTTTTATGGCCTTTGCAGCACCAGGTCCAGCCACTGCTGAACAGAGGTGTTATGTGGTTTTCCATCCAAATGACCAGGATTTGAAACAAATGGTCAGCAGGCCTGAGGATTCTGCATTTCTATTGGAAGCTCAGACTTGAGTGAACCAGCCTGAAATATCTCTCCTTGACTTTCTTCTTTTTTTTTCAGAGCTGGGGATTAAATCCAGGGCCTTACACATAGTAAGGACATACTCTACTATCACGCTACTCCCCTAGTGCTTACCTGTTTTCTTATGACAAGGTTTTCTTGCTGCTGCGTCTCTCAGAGCATCACAATATGCACAAATAAAATATAATCCCCTGGAGCCACTAAAGGCTGACCACATACATCTGCAAATGGACCCATCACTGGTGAAATGACTTGGTACAAAGGGCTGCAGTGATCAATCTAACAGGTACATGAGTCACAAGAACACACTTCAAGTGGCAGAGAGTAATCAACACTGGATGGGTTTCCTTCCTGCTTGTCTGACAATCTTCCCCAATCTCCCCGCAAGCCCTTTAAAAATGTATGAGCACGTAGCACAAATGCCATTACCTGGTTTACCTCCGGAGACTCCAGGTGGCTTCTTGAGGTCTGACTTCAGTTTAGATGCTAGAACAAATCTCCTAAACCACTCCTCTTTTTCTCGGCCAGTTCTCCCAAACAGATACAGTATCTGATCTCGCTGGCCAGATCTTGCTCCCTCTTGAGAGTGGAGTGGCTTCTTAGGGTCCTCACTTCCCAGCTCTCTCTCGGCTGGTGGCTTCTCCTCAGAAGTCTCCTTATCAGTCTGAGCCTTAGACATAAAGTCATCTTGCTGACCAAGCTCGATACAAATGGGGTACTTTTTATTCCAGATTCGTTTGCGAGCCAAACTTTTAGGCACAAGATAAATCTACAAAAAAGGGAAATGATTTACATACTGAGGAGCAGCTACACTGTGCGTTAATATTCTGCGTAGCACAAACACAACACTTCCAGAATTTTTGACTAAAATGATGAATGTGAAATAATTTTTACTACCTGTCTATAACATGACAATAGAAACTGGAATAAATTTTTAGAACTGACTTCTTGTTCCTCAAAATCATTTCAGAATGTAGATGTTTAAGAATTATGTAAGAAATATAAATATCTGTAACTTTTAGGCAGCAGTAGCACAATAATAATATTTAGCTGATTACTACCAACTAAGTTTAGAGACCGAGTTTAATGTTTCTGGATGAAACTTAAACTGGGGGTAGGAGGGGGCTTATCAATCTAGATGTGAAACTAAAGACAATGCAAGTAAAAAATTTATGCAAAAACCACTACATAATTGTGTCATTTTGGAGAAAATTAAAGATTATTCACATGAGTTATAAGAAGAACAGAGAACCTATAGCTTCATGCAGTAACAAATAATTTAGATTTCTCACAAAATAAATATACCTTATCAAAATGCAATTATTTTGCATATGCATGTTTTCCACACTTTATAGGGTAAAGCCTTAGTTAGTACCCTATGCAACCAATATAGAACAGCTTTTGAGGTGAGAATTCTGAGTGTAGGATCCCTGGCTCCTGAGGTGTGGTTCGGGGCCTGCGGTGTGGGGTGTGAGCATCCCTGGAAGCTCATAAAAACGCAGGCTGTTGGCCCCGCCCAAAGCTGCAGAACCAGAACCTGCGTTTTAGAAGAGCTCAGGTGTTTCATATGTGCATTAAAGTCCTAAAGTATACTGACCTTCAAACAACAAAAACAAAACAACATCAAAAAACATTTTAGGGGGAAAGTGCAGGAAAACAAGCAAGATTCAAGTGCTTTTCATTCATTTAAGCTCTGCTTCCAAAAGTACTCAGGCTCACCTTGCTGTCAGTGAGGTCGTAGATTTTCTGGCTGATATAGATGACCTCTGGCTTTGTTTCATTGTAGCTCGCCCTCCTGGACACATTTTTATTGGGCTTTGAAAGTCTTAAGGTTCCGCCCTCAAGCCGAATGAAGACTGAATGTGTCAAAGTGGCATGGTAAGTTTCAGGATCATAGTTGGAAATCTCATTCATCCATCCCTGATGGAGAAAGACTTTCATTAGTAAGTAAGAGGAAATCTGATTCGGTGTGAAAATGATGATACCAAACTTGACTGTGGTGCAGGTGTCACCCCCCTAATGACTGGAGGCTGCTGAGATACCACTTAGCTGGATGGATGATAGGTTCTTAGGAGCAATTTGGTATGGTTTTGATAATCAAAAATGTAGATGGGGGTAGTGATGTCTATTATCTTAAATGTATTGTTCTTCCTTCCTTTTTTTTTTTTAAGTTGACAAGCACATCAGGAAACTCAAAAGTTTTGTTCATGTAACCGAGCATGCCTCTCTTGCCTGTCCTCGTTTGGGGATGAATAATCCACCCAGTCCAGTTTTTTTGTTTGCTTGTTTGTTTTTGTTTTTTGAGACAAGGTCTTGCTGTGTGGTCCAGGCTGGCCTGAAACTCACAATCCTCCTGCCTTACCCTCTGAATACTGGGATTATAGGTGTATACCACTATGCCTGTCTACCAATCTGGCTTTCTTAATTAGCCAAATGCACACTCTTCTCAGCCAACGTGCTAACACTCTTGAAAATTTCACAGACTGTGCTAAAGCATGGTACCATTCCAAGACTCAGAGAAAACCTACCACTCCATTTCAATGCCACTATAACATGGAAATCATATAATAAAGCAAATGAACAAAAATGAGGCATTAAATAAATGATATAGTCAACATGTCAAAGTCCAAAGACACATAGTAACTTAAATGAGCAAAACTGTGTTCTCCAAGTCTCCTTCCCTCCTAAAATCAGTATAAATGTACTTGAGAATAGATTTTTTTTGGTGGTGGTAGTACTGGAGTTTGAACTCAAGGCCATGTGCTTGCTAGGCAGATACTCCACCACTGGAGCCCCATCTCCAGCCCTTTTTGCTTTTTTTGAATAGGGTCTCCTACTATGCATGCTTCCTGAATAGCAGGGATGACAGGTGCCACACCAGCATGCCCAGCTAATCAGCTGAGATTCGGGTCTCAAGAACTTTTCATGTGGGCTGGCCTTGAACCTCAGTCCTCCCAACCTCTGCTTCCTGAGAAGCTGGGATTACAGCCTTGAGCCACCTCACCTGGCCTCGTTTACTTTTAAATGTTGGCTCAGTCTTCCGTTCTCAGGATTAATGATGTGCTCAAGTTGGGCTATATGACAGGTGATGTAAGTGCATTTCCCAACTCTACCTTCAGCAACTTCACATTGGGAGCTTGTACTGGCCATGGTGAAAATTTTTACATGCTGGAAACTGGGGAGCAGCACAAATCAAGCCTTTCCCCTTTTTTTTTTCCCCCTTCTGAGAAGCCAGTTTACCAGAACAATGCTATGATTATGATTATGTTTTTTGGGTTTTTTTTTTTTTTTTGCAGTTCTGGGAACAGAATCCAGGGCCTGTTGCATGCTACACAAGTGCTCTATTACTGGAGTTATACCCAATCCTCATCCCTTTAATACACCATGGAATCTGGTTTGCAAATATTTTGCTTTTCCCTCCTAATTTTATAAGGGCAATGGTCTATGTTTCCATGCAATGTCTTTTGGAATTAGTAAACCTTATAACATGAGTTGGGAAGTGTTCTCCCTTTTCTATTTTCAGGAAGAGTTAATATAATTTCTTCCTCTAAGGTTTGGTACAATTTGCCAATTAAGTCATCTGTGACTAGGATTTTCTTTTTAGAAAGGTTTTAAACCATGAATTCAACTTCTTCAATTTCTAATGGATTGTGTAGGTTATGTATTTCTTCTGTATGTTTTGTTGTTTTGGGATGGTCTCATTACCTAGCCCATGCTGGCCTTAAACTCATGATCCTCCTGCCTCAGCCTCCCAGGTACTGGATTACAGATATGTACCACCACACCCAGACTATGTATTTCTTTTGGAGTGAATTTCGGTGGTCTGTACCTTTCAACGAATTTATTTAAAATGATTTATTTCATTTAAGTCCCCAATTTCTGGGCATAATGTTGTTTACAATATTTCCTCCAATTCTTTCAATGTTTGTGGAGCCAGTCCTGACAGCAATACTTTGTACTTGTCTCACATCTTTCTTCTCTTATTGCAGCAATAGGGTTTGAACCCAGGGTCTCACGCTTGCTAGGCAGGCGCTCTACAACTTGAGATGCTCCATCAAGCCCTTTTTTTTGTGATGGGTTTTTTCAAGATAGGATTCTTGAAAACTATCTGCTCTGGGCTGGCTTTGAATAGGGATCCTCCCGATCTCTGATCTCTGCCTCCTGAGAAGCTAGGATTGCAGGTGTTAGTCACAGGCACCCGGCTCTTCTCTTCTGATACAAACTTGTACTGCTATTAAGTTCTTCTAGGCAATGCACTAGTGGAAATGTTTGACATATTTTCAATTTCATGAAATTGAAAATTTTTTTCTAATTTCCCTTTTGACTTTATCTTTGGACCCAGAAGCTATTTAAAAGTATGTTTAATTTCTAAACATTTGGGATTTTCCATATATCTTCTATTATTGATTTCTAGTTTAATTACATTATGGCCAAAGAACTTTCTTTGCATAATTTTGAGTTTTTAAAATTTGTTAAGACTTATTTAATCATACAGAATATGTTCTGTCTTGGTGACAGTTCTATATGCATTTGAAAAAACATGAATGCTGCTGGTATTGGATAGGTTTCTTTTAAAACACAAACATATCCTCTGTCACTCCCCTCCCCTTTTTTGAGACAGGGTCAAGCTGTATAGCTCAGTCTGGCCTCAAACTGTCCATCCTTCTGCCTCCACCTTCCCCAAGTGCTACTACGCCTGGGTCTAACCCAACCATTTTCACTAAAGATCTCTTTACACAGATCCCCAATTATCTTTTTATCCAATTTGGTTGCAGAAAATGCTATCTCACCCATAACAGGTTTCCTAGGGTGACAATTGTAAAGGCAAGTAGATTTAGAGTGGCTTCAGAGCCCAATTCTATTTACTAACAGAGCTACTGAAACTAAGAAGAATTCATGGAATGAGCGAAGAAAGGAAGGACTGAGAATTTCTTAAGATCAGGAAATGGGAGACCAATAGACACCTCTCTATCAGTGTCATTTATGAGCCACTGGGACTGCTCTTTTTGAGTGATTGGCTACAGAAAAGGCTACTTGAGGTACACAGCATGTATGACCCATCCATCACAACACCTTAGCTGAGATGTCAACTTATATGTAATGACTGTTTTAAATTATAGTCATCACTTGATACAGGACAAATTTACTGTAATAATATCTCCAGATAAAATATTTTTCTGTAGTTTCCAGCTATGTAAAATTAGACACATAAAAGAGCCAGCAGAATTAAGACAGTACTGGAATTTTAGACAAAATTCCTAGTCTTTAAAGTTATTATCCATTTCCCAAAAGAATAGAAACACTCAGGGATAGTCATTATATTGTAAAGTAATTCTCATTACAGACTCTGAGAAATAGAGTAATAAACTTAAGAAATAAAAGGTTGTTTCTCTCTAATTGCTTTCATTTTGTCATTCCTAACTAAGTCAGAAAATGCAGAACTGTCCAGAATAGTACTGTCCAATGCAAATATAATGAGTCATAAAAATATTCAATTTTAAATTGTCTGGTGGCTATATTAAAAATGAAAAATGATGCCATGCATGGTTGTGCATGCCTATAATCCCAGCTGGTCCTGAGAAAAGATTTGGAGGATCATGGTTTGAGGCCAGCTTGGGCATAAAAGTTATAGCAAGACCTCCATCTCAACCAACAGTTGAGTGTGGTGGCATGCACCTGTAATTCCAGCTATGCAGGAGGCATAGGTAGGAGGATATTAGTCTGAGGTTGGCCCAGGATAGGGAGACCCTATCTGAAAATTAAAGCAAAAAGGGCTGGGGACATGGCTCAAGTGGTAAAAGCATTTGTCTAGCAAGCACAAGGTCCTGAGTTCAAACTCTAGTGCCACCAGAAAAAAAAGAGAGAAGAAAAAAGAAAGGGGAAAAAAGGAGAGGAAATCAATTTTAACCATATATTTTATTTAACCCAACATATCCAAAATATTATTTCAACATGTAATCACTACTAAAAAAAGATGGTATTTTACAATCTTTGCGTCTTACTAAGTCTTTAATTTTAACAGAACACAACTCAGTTCCAACAAGCTACCTAGTTGGAACTGTGGTTCCTACTATGCTAGAGGCATAGCTCAGCAGTAGAGTGCTACCCTTCAAGTGTTGGGTGTCACATGTGGAAAGTGGCTATTGTACAAGACAGTATAGGCCACGTCTTAGCTACAAGCTTTTTAGCCCTTAGACACTTGGCTCAAACACAGTAAGCAAAGTCTTCCTTTCTCTACTGACACTTCCAACACAGACTTAATTACAAGAGGCACCTAACTCAGTAATAGTAATTTTATGTTGTGTTTTACTGGATGTTCTGCATAATTAAATGAGGGAATAAAATCTAATCTCCAAATAAAATGATCTACTGTAGATCATTTTAGATTTTAAAAATCTAGGTCAAAGGCTAAAGTTTTTTAAATCTCTTATTTATTTATTTATTTATTCCTCTACAGGAACAGTAAAAGATACTGAATTTATTTATGGAGAATCTTACATTGAGTTCTTAGTTTATCCCTTTGATTTTCAGATTCAGAAAATAAAACAAGGCATAGGCACATGCGTTGGGTACTAACACTGTATCAGCTAACGTTTGCAGGACAGACACTCTGGCAATGAGCCATCATTCTGCCCCAGTCTTAACAAGCTGCAGCTCAATTCCTGTCCCTAGAAAACTCTTGAATCTGGCAACCTTTTCCACAGAGCATCAGGGAGTTGGTTCTTAGTCTCAGAGCCAGGTGCTCAGCCCGGCAGCCTGAAGAACAGGCCCCTCTAGAGCTCCCGCTGCATGCACTGCAGCCTGTGTCCACCCCGTCCTCCCTCACAGGGACCCCGTTCTGAGCCGAGGAAGCAGCTATCCTTTGGACAGCTCTGACAGATATGGGTCACCCTCCACCACTTGCCAAATTCCAGGAATTC